GAATTACAGATTTTGGATCTAACACCAATTTCTCCGCTCCAATACCATTCATTTTCATTCACCCACCACCTCTCTGAAAAAGCCAACAAAATTTTCGTCTTGCACAAGGGACTTAAAAAACAATTAGATTTACCAATTTCAAACAATTTTTTCTTGTTTTTTCTTACATTTTTTGTTGTGGAAAAATGGCGCAAGTAAACTCAGGAAAAAAAATTTGATGATGTTGATATCAAGAAAGAGGAGGAGAAGGAAAGTGAAAGATGTGGCACTTTCAAATTCAATCATGCAGCGTCGGAGTTTGTACCTTGATCTCACATCCCGACCTGGGTGCTGATAATTGGGTATGTTTACCAGTCAATTCAATACTCTAATGGGAATGGTGGGAATTGGATTTATATACCAATCAAGAAACAATTCCACATTTGGTTGCTCCAAATCCGAATGTGAAGGGTGATTCGGGTCAGTTGCATCATCATTTGAAGAACGTACTTTCTGATAAGTTTAGACAAAAGATCATCAGTAAAAAGTTTCATTAATCACTAAACTTTGAACTTTGTCACGTTGTGATCACTCAACTTAGTAATGCTTCTGATCAGTCACTGAGCTTGCAGAAGGTTACCTTAATCCATCACTAAAACAGCCGGCCGTTTGGAAGTCAGCCTAGATTGCTTAATGGAGTTTGGCGTAGCAGTGACGGCGTCATTTCCTTGGCCAAGTAAGAGTTTAATTTTCATTAATCACCCATTTCCTTCAATTGAACGAATCATGTCTTTCTCCCAAACGAAGTCGAACCTTAATCTCCCGACCACCGTCGCGATCGCAGACATTGAGGTGGGCTCGTGCCCAGAAATTGAGATTCGAAGGATGAAAATTATTGGATTGCCATTGAGAGTCGAACGAATCCTGTCATTCATCCCAAATCGAATTCACCCCCTGAAAGAAACAATTTCCGCCTTCCCGTCGCGATTGCAGAAGTTGAGGTGGAATCCGTTCTCAAACTTTAGTCGGAAGGAGCAACTATGTTGGATTCCACTTGAAGTGAACTGGAAGTAGCTAGCTTGACTTGATTCTCACTGCATTTTTCAGTTGGTTTCACTTCTTTGTGAGGTTCCAATTTTCAAACATAGAAGGAGATCACAGAGCTAAAGCCCACCCTTGATTTGAAATATAATTTTTATGTTGACGGCAATGAGTCTACTGGTAATTCCAGTAGCTGTGATTTTACAATTTGTGTTGATTTTGCATAAATATGAAGGTATTTCCAGTTTGTGTGATTTCGCGTAACTGGTAGTTATTGGAGATAATAGTTACGTTATTATGGGTGATTCATGAACT